AAGACTGACGCGACGGTCCGAATATTGTTGTTCGAAAAAAGTTTAAATACAAGATTATCTTGAAATTTTCGTAAGCTAGATTCCGGCATATGTCAAATATCTTTTGTTTTCTGATGACTATCGCCACATTAATAAAAATAACAGATTTTTTTAATACAATAAATTCTGAAGTTTTGCACTCTTACCTTGTGTAATAAGACGAACAGTACTTTACTGGTGGTAGGACCTCTTGTGAGTACGCACGGGTAGATACCACCATCCTGTCTATTTCTACCGTGAAGCAGTAATGCGTTTCGGTTTGAAGGGTGGAGCAGCCGTTGCAACTATACTTAGACCTTAGAACTTATATCTCAAGGTGGGTGGCGCATTTACGTTGTAGATGTCTATGGACTTCAGTTAGCACTTAACACTAGGTGGTCTGTGAGCTCGTTCACCCATCTAAGCAATAAAAAATAAAAAACAATCTTCAAAATAAACTGCAACAGCTAAGTAACTATCGTTCGAGTCTGTCGCGACACACAGAAAAAAATAGATTCAATAAACTTTCCGAGAGTCAATACAACAAAAAGTTTTAAGTACAGATATTTTACTATCTTACTTAGGTATTCTATTAAAACATGACCTCATTTCAAACACGAGACACGTCAGAGAACAGTTTGTTGTTACTTAAGTATTATATGTTATAAGTTGGCGATGGACGCGTCACCTGCCGATAAAGCCAGCTATTAGTCTTGATCCTGGCGACGACTATTTATAATCCACTCGGCTATGAAATAAGTATGTCAACATTGTTATACTTAACGATAGTGCATCATATCTGTCAATGTTTGATATTAATCATTGCATTATATCATTGTCAATGAGTTCGGAGTCTTATTTTTCAGTTTACTTACTGGTGCTAGGAAGTCTTATGTGTGCGCACGGGTAGGTACTAGCACTTACCTATTTCTGCCGTGAAGCAAAAATGCGTTTCGGTTTGGAGCAGCCGTTGTACTGTTAAAACTGAGACCTCACAACTCATGTCTCTTGGGGGTATTTACGTTGTAGATGTCTATCCTCCCCAAATCCTGATCACGCAGGAGCCAGTCACCGTCGACGCCCTAGACACGTCCTTACGGATCCATCAGATCCAATAACCTTTGCATTAGACGCCTTCAGCTCTAACACTAGGAGCAGGCTTGGGGATCCCGGTAACCGTACTCATCGGGCTCGACAAAGAGTTCGACATGCAACCTAACCCATGCATCAGTCCGCTGAGTTTCTCGCCGGATCTTCTCAGCGGGTCGCGATTCCGATCCGGCAGTAGATTCATTCGCGAAGTAGCTGCTCTTGAGTTGTTAGGTCTCCTTCGGAGGGCATCTGTTAGCAAATCCCACACCTCTTGGCTGAGCCTTTGCTCGCCCATCTGTCCTGGTGAACTGAAAAGGCCTCAGGGCCACCAGTAATCCTTCAAACATAAAAAAGATGTCTATCCCAAATCGGAATGCATCACCGTTTTATCAATAAACGTACCGAACTCTCTAGATTTACTACCTACAATTCATTAAAATACGCAAAAAAAAACAGCCCCAATGTTCTTTAAAATCTAAAACAGCTTACATAAACCTATATAATGTTGTAGATGTTTGTGGTGCTCACACATCAAGCTGTCGAACTTGATCTCCTTACATGATAAATATTTCCTGTCACTCAGTTGTGACAATAACACAAATATTATTCCGTGTGCATTTTTATGCACGTCTTCAACTAAATGTCAAGTATTCGAATTGTTACATCACTCATGTTGACATTGGAGACCATTGTTGTAAAATATTTTTACTACGTGATCGCTAAGGTCGGTGGTTCCACTTACAGCGATAACAAAGTAAATTAATTTAATTTCGATAAAATCTTAGATTAAAAAATCTAAATGGGAAACAAGTGAAACACGCAAGGCTTTTTGAACGAACTGAACTCTATAAGACTTGGATGTTTTCTTCATTTTTTGTTGCCAGTTTTTTGCTTCTTTTTTTATAGGATGGATGGGTGACTGGTGGCCGAAGACCTTTCCAGTTTCGCTAGGACAGGTGGGCGAACGCGACCTCAGTCATTTTAGTGAGTTATTTTATTATTTCCTTCGTTCGTGACTACGAAAACTGCAAAGTATTCGTAACATTGAAAATAATATAAAGTAATGAGAATAAAAAAATATGAAATTAAAACACAAGAGTAGATCTAATTATGTTTGCGATTTGCGTAAACCGAAGAGAAAACTATACAGATATAACTAACTATTTATTATATAGAAGAGAAAGCATCTACAAATCAATTATATTACGTAATGGACTAAAAATAAAAAAATTAAAATGTATAATTTAACTACCGTTTTGACCATTTTGCGACGAACTAACCATGCGTTCGGTTTGACTTGTAATATTGTCGTTTTTCTAATACAATTGAGACTATATATACACTGAAGTCAGTCAGTTATCTTTATTTATTTATTTATTTAGTTTTTACTGGTGGTAGGACCTCTTGTGAGTCCGCAGGGGTAGGTACCACCGCCCCGCCTATTTCTGCCGTGAAGCAGTAATGCGTTTCGGTTTGAAGGGTGGGGCAGCCGTTGTAACTATACTGAGACCTTAGAACTTATATCTCAAGGTGGGTGGCGCATTTACGTTGTAGATGTATATATGGGCTCCAGTAACCACTTAATATCAGGTGGGCTGTGAGCTCGTCCACGCATCTAAGCAATAAAAAAAAAAACTTTATTTTGTCGTGTCCATATAATACGTTTTTACGTGTGTAAATATTTATGTCCACTAAACTGTATGTACAAACTGTACAAAGTTGGAAAGTTTTTATCTATTAAGTGTAACAATTATTAAATCGAGAGTGATTTCATCTATTCATTGACGCTAGTAAAAATAATAACAAATAACTGTATGTAATGTAACAAACATGAATATTTCACAATATCGTGTCACCTATTTGCTAGTTCGTTAGTACATAATTCAAACTCAACGAATATCAAAATGCTCCGCTACTCTGCCCGCCGTCACTGTGGCCCAACCACCACCCACAGCATCGGCGAGTTCAAAGCGATGCGCTAACAGCACAAATAAAAGTTTTATTTTTAATTCAAACCGACGCATGTATCGTGTTTCGTTGCGCTCATTCATAAAGCCGGCCCTTTTAAATCGACTAGCGTTACGTCATCCAGAAAGCACGTGAGATTTAACACAATATTGATGATCCCAATGAGCATGTTAGCCTTGACATAGTGATTGTTGTATGTCGTTAATGGGAGTTAGCGGAGCGAATTCTTAAATGTCGTCAGTAGATATGATTGCTATAAGTTATTTTGCTTAATAAATTCACGTGGAAATTGTCTTATAACGCCAAAACCGAAAAGCAAGTAATGTCTATTAAATGTGAAAAGTTTCAAATCAAAACCCATTTTTTCTTCGCGGCATAGTGAGTTGGTGGTATGCACGGCACTTCTTTTATTAATTAAAATTTACAATCGAATTTCTGTAGTTAATATTGTCCTGTACATATTTCGTAAGGAGTACACAAACATACAAAGCTGTAATAAGAATTCTGTATTAATAAAGAAGAATTTCTGTAACAATAAAGAAGTCTTTCGATCATAGTGCAAAGAGATCGCCAAATAATCACGAAATTTAAACGCTTTTTAGAAGGTCGAATAGTCTAGAAATATAACATTTTAAGAATTAAAAAAAGTGGTGTGAATTATTATTTATTTATTATACAGCGTGTTCGAATTATAACAAAACAAAAATGATCGAACATTTCTGAAACAACTTTAGTACGCCGACATATCAGCCTTTTTTTTTCTTTTTTTTTTCGGGCCGGCGGCCGAACCTCCTACGAGGTCAGAACCCGGTCAGAATAGGGAACCATATCAGCCTGGGCCAACCCAACGTTTCCTAGATACGTTTAAAATAAATTCTTTTCAACGCTTTCGTATGAATAAAAATGATGCACCAGTGTTGTTACACAGAATGTGGGTCATCCGAACTAGCTGTCATAAAAATTGTCACCTCCTTAACATTCTTACAGTGTGTGTCACATTTCATAAATATGAATACGTTTTTATTTTGATTGACTTATTCAGTTTTATAGCTGAATTATTAAGGGTTGCTTGGATAGATGGATGGAAAGATAAACTTAGAATTGGAATAGTTACGAATCAGTTAGGTGAATAAATTATGTGGATAGGATCAATCATATTACAAATAATGAATATTGCCATTTTAAAAACACTAGGATGTCTTTATTTTACTGGTGGTAGGAGCTCTTGAGAGTCCGCACGATAGGTACCACCACCCCGCTTATTTCTACCGTGAAGCAGTAATGCGTTTCGGTTTGAAGGGTGGGGCAGCCGTTGTAAATATACTGAAATCTTAGAACTTATATCTCAAGGTGGGTGGCGCATTTATGTTGTAGATGTCTATGGGCTCCAGTAACCACTTAACACCAGGTGGGCTGTGAGCTCGTCCACCTACCTAAGCAATAAAAAAATATTTACGCTACTTATTCACAATTAAATAACGTATTTTCGTCAATTGAATATTTTATCGTTGGATCCAAACATTAATCTGTATTACTTTTTTAGAATTATTACTATAATACATATTATTATTACTCACTCAGATGACATTCTAGAAAGCATATTCTTTAGATTTTCGATGCAAAAAACAACTTACAATGTAATTTCAACTTCGCGCCGTCCACGATGTCCACATTTCACATGCAACCATCCTTCTTCCAAAACATACAGGGCTATCTTGAGTTAGACTGCTAAATGTCTAACTAATTAAATATCAGATCGGAACCAAAATTAAAATAGATCGAAAAAAATCTCATGTCACTGTTCCCGCCGAAATGAAAAGTGTCATTTTCTCATGCCGTGAAAATACGCTTCATGACGAAGGCATTACGTTTGTACAGCCACGTCGTGAAGCCGGCCGGCTTACCGACCAAATGCTGCCAGTCGTGCACAAGACTCCGACGCGTGAACGCGCACAGAATCCCGAACTTATCGCGATACGATAGAAACAAATAATTAAATTTCGAACGGTTTTCTTTTTCATGAAAACATTCGTGTTAATTCACTCAAGTGCTGTTACGTGAGTTGTTACAGTTTTTCTCTCCAGTTAACTCAGGTGAGCTTTTCGAAATTTGTAATAACTTTCTCATATATCATTTGCGTAGCCAAAATATTATTTAGAGATATTGAAAAAAAAAAAAAAAAAAACAAAATTAAATTTCTCATAATTTTAACACCTTTTTGATAATAGCGTATCCGTAGCGTAAAGAAACAGTCTAAGATTAAAAATCCTAGCGATATGGAACAATTTGCGATAACATAAATTTTATAGAAAATAAGATACAGAAACATTTTTCAACAATCATTCAAGCAGCTCAAATCTACAATTTTTGGTAAATAAAAAAAAAACTTAAATAACAAAGCTATCAAATTGGTGGCACAGAACATGGAAAAGCAATGCCGGTGTGTCCTTCGAAAATTATTTATTTAAAAATGAAATTTTCCTAATTTTTAATAATCTATTAAATACATATACTTAATTTTATATAACACTAGCTGACCCGGCGCAAACATTGTTTTGCCATATATAAGATTTCTAGGGAATTTCTAGTGTAGAAAAAAAAACTAACTTATTGTAAGTTTGTAAGGATGTGGTAAATGAGTGAAAGAGGCATGTAGCGCTGTGAACCATGAGGGAATATATTATAATAATAATAAAACCTCATTCAACCACATAAAACCTCATTATAACAAAAAAAAGTCAAAATAAAAAAAAAAATGTTAGGGGTGCACAACCTTAATCACTTAGGGGTATGAAAAATAGATAGTAGCCGATTCTCAGGCTTATTGAATATGCATAAAAAATTTAATGAAAATCGGTCAAGCGGTTTCGGAGGAGTATGGGAACGAACATTGTGACACGAGAATTTTATATATTAGATATAATTTATTTTTTCAAATTGTCGTCTACATTTTCCTATACATATAAACATACGAATATTTTACTCGTTGACAATCTAACGGACATCGCACGAGTTATTCAAACACCTGTAATCGATGCCTCCAATGAACACTACTCTAACTCCAAATTCGTAGGTTTACAGGAGGAGAGTTTAAACGAAAAAAGCTGATAAATATACCTGCAATAATAAAGATTTTATGGTTTTTTTCTTGTGTAACTAGCTGATTTACTCTTGCTTCGAACCCCATCAATAATGAATTTGTAATCTATATATTAATACGTGAAGCAAAAACTTTGTATCCCTTTTTACGAAAATTGCGCGGACGGAGGAGTATGAAACTTTCCACACTTATACAGAATATAGAGAAGAAGTGCACAATGCTAATATTTTTTTAAAATAATGCATAAAAGATACATTAAATCCATAAAGAAAACATTACACACACTACATACCATGTATTTGACGCACACACGCATGCATACTATTTATTGTCAAACTTTTGTTCTTGACGTGTGTTGTCAAATTGAGAATAGATTAAATATTGTTTGTCTTTGTTAATATTTTTTATAGTGTAGTCTTGGCGAAATTTGTGATTATAGAAGTATAATATACAATCATAATAGTGTACAAACTTACAATTCCAATTAATTATAGTCGAATTTCGACTACTGCGGGACCTCTGGTACTTTTAAAATAGTGAAGCGATTTGCGTGAAAAACGAAAATTTTCGAAATTTTGAGTTAGAGTAGTGTTCATTGGAGGCATCGTGTTGAAAGTTACGTTGACGTGACGAAATTCAATTATGTACACAGAAGAAGATTTTTATCGATATTCTTATTACTTTCTCTTATTACTGGTGGTAGGACCTCTTGTGAGTCCGCACGGCTAGGCACCACCACCCTGCCTATTTCAGTCGTGAAGCAGTAACGCGTTTCGGTTTGAAGGGCGGGCAGCCGTTGTAACTATACTGATACTTTAGAACTCACATCTCAAGGTGCGCGGCGGCATTTACGTTATAGATGTCTATGGGCTCCGGTAAGCACTTAACACCAGGTGGACTGTGAACTCGTCGACCTATCTATGGAATAAAAAAAAAACCTTGTGTAAATAATTCTCCGGCAATTGTGAATACCCGTATCAAAAAATTCACACTTCACAACAGTTTCCTAATACATCAAATTCACATACGTACCTACTAGATATGTATATCAATAAGATTTTCAATTCACTTCACATATTTTGATCTTTTAAATAACTTTTGTATACGTTTGTTCATACTCTCGGCCCACCAGATATTAAGTGATTAAAGGCGCCCATAGACATCGCAACGTGAATACCGCTACCCTGGCTTGAGGCTTGAGGTTTATTGCCTCATTTATATTGTATTACACGGTGTTCTTCCTTCGTTATCGACATCATTCGAGAATCTCTGCTACCTACGTATTTCATTAGAAGAATCTGGTATCTGGCTACAAGATTCGAATTCCGGCGTCATCACATCACTAGATATGGCTACACTAAGCCTTACAGATTAGACAGCGGCGACGTCAATTTAAGTATTCGATTTAATATTTGCAACCAGACAACAACCGAATTGCGATATCCAAAAGTATAATATAATTCGACAATACGACGCAAACACTTTTAATTGATGGGTCTCTGTGCATTATAGCTTTATTATTTAAATCAAATCGAATTTCGATTCAACACTTGGTGACATTTTACCCAAAAACACTCCTGTTTTGCATATCGAAAACTACAATTTAAAAACGCATTTTGATTTAACGTTTTTTTTTTTTAATTTAACTGGTTTATTTAATTGCCAGACCTCTAGACAATGTTACTTCGTTCTGTGTGAAATGAAACGCAAAATTCTAGAAACAGTATTTATAGAAAATTTAACGACAATTAACACAATATATCAATATCTACGATAAACAACTTAGTCGTCCGTGACCACGAAAAATATACAGTTTTCAAAATGTCTGAAATACTTTAACCTCAATAAAACTCAATTAAACTCTAAAAAGTAGTCTTAATTATTTCTACGATTCCTAAAAACCAGAGAAATTACTTTCAAACTCGCTTTCGCATTTCGAAAATTAATCGGATGCATTAAATTATTTTCATTGAAAGCAAATTGTAAATTGAACATAAAGTTAATAAAAAATATCGGAATCTATTTTATAAATCAATTCACTGCTGTAACCGTTTCCCAAATCGGTTTTATAATAATAAATTGTTTGCAAATTAATGTTGGCTCAATGTTGTTCGCCATTTGTGTATTCTTGTCTTTTTTTTAACTTCCTTCACAAAACCCGTTTGTAGTACATCTCGGAAGATTCCTAAAATGCCGCGTTCATACTTTACATTTCGGCTTGAAGAATTCTCCTCTAAATCAAATAATGTCATTGTTATCAACGTTTTATTACTCCCGTATTTAAGTTACGAGAAGTAATAAAGATTATATTATAATATGGTGCATTACATATTAGTTTTGTATTAAAATATTAGTCTACCCGTTTAATTAGATTCACGCACGGAATTACCACTCAGCCTATTTTTACCGCGAAACAGTAATGCCTCATTTTGGGAGGCAGTTGTTGTTATCTACGATTAAGACTTAAGCTTATCTCTCAGTTTGAAGGGCGGGGCAGCCGTTGTAACTATACTGAGACTTTAGAACTCATATCTCAAGGTGGGTGGCGAATTTACGTTGTAGATGTCTATGGGCTCCAGTGACCATTTAACATCAGGTGGGCTGTGAGCTCGTGCATCCATCTAAGCAATAAAAAAACAAAAAAAGTGGGAGGCAGAATTCACATTGTGACTTATATAGGCTCCGAACTAATTGGGAATTCGTTCATTGTTTATGCAACAAAATAATTAAAGACCTATTCATGATTTTACTTCATTTCACGTGCATTTGAATTTGAAAATGAAGTCGTATTTACGTACTCGAAGTCAAACCAGAGTTTGGAAAAGATTAAAGCGTCTTGTTACGAACGAACGCAGCCTGCACTGTCACTAAACGTGTTTTTCAAAGAATTGTCGTGTGTGTCAAATTCATTATTGTTTTGCAAATCCACGCCTTGTTTGTGTTGTATGTGAATTCCAGTACGGTTCTTAGAAATTTGAACAACTCAGTCGCTTAACAACCGGCCGATATTAGTCGGAGAAGCGTTTTAAATATACAACAACAAAAAAAAACTTTGATTTTCAGTCGATTAAAAAGATATATTGTTGTAGTGAACCAATCGAACCATCGATTGGTTCACTACAACCTTTGTAAGGGTAAATACAGACTTGTGGTCGCCCAGTTGTCTAAATTTGACTATAATTATTACATAATTTAAATTATAAGTTTCAATCAATTATTATGGTTTTATTGTTTTAAAACAATAAAACTTTACTTCTTTAATCACAGATTTCGCTAAAGCTACACTATAGACAAATAATATTAAAGACAAACAATACTAATATACTATTCTCAATTTGACCACAGATTTTAACAATAAACAAAAGAGTATACATTTAAGCGTGTGTTGCCAAATACATGTTAGTGTGTGTAATGTTTTTTTTATTAATTTATTGTATTTTTTATGCATAATTAAAAAAAATTGGCATTCTGCACTCCTCTATAGTTTCTATAAGTGTAGGAAATTTCATACCCCTCCATCCGCGCAATTTTCGTAAAAAAGGATACAAAGTTTTTGCTTCACGTATTAATATAAAGAGAAGCGAATGAGTTCACGTCCCACTTGGTGTTAGATTAAATCGCTGACCGTAAACTTCATAACGCGAATTCCTTCATCAATCGTGAGACGCGCTCAAAATCTAAAACATATATTATATTGTAATAACGACCAATCTTACTTTTTAAGCTGGGAGACAAGGCCGCTTCGGGGTAGAAATTAGGATGACAGTTCTTTTCCTCCGTACCAACCAATACCATTAATATACTGCTAGCAGTATCTATATCTGAGTTTAAAATCAACGTTCCTTTATAAGTTCAAAAATTTCATTGTCATACCAATATGCATACTTTTTGGGCAGATATCGAAAAATGCGTTTTCAAGAATTTCGGAGAATACTGTTTATGATAGCGCATTTTGTGTTTTTACTACCAACCGCTGATGATTTAAAATCACTC